AACAATTACTTCAAATTAAATGAACAAAAATAAGCATGCAAAATAAAAACTAATTTAAATAAAATAAACTACAAAAAAACATGCAAAATAAAAAAACTAATTTGAACAAAATGAACTTGAATTCTATTACATAGAGCATGCAAGATATAGAACTATTTTAACTACGGGGTCATCTTTGTCTTCTCCAACGTCGACCTGAAACAGATACGGTGGTAACAGATTAATATGGAGCAATTAAAATTAATAATATAAAGTATTCTCACCTTAATTAACTGTAGACCGTAATGTTCCAGAGTTTGCAGGTGTGAAATGCAAATCAAATCCAAGAGGAATGCCAATGCAGAAAATTTCTTATTTCAGTGGAATTCACATAAATCTTCAGTTGTTCTCACTCATCACTTGAAAATTAACTGCATAATGTTGCAAGGTGAAGACGAAAACAGCAAATCAAGAATGTAGTCCACCAAACCTTGTAGATATTGCTTCAGTACCATCAACCTGAACTTTATTTCTCTTCCATTTGTCAGACGATCTGTAGAGATGGACAAAAAAGAGTATTAGTTACACAAACAATTAAAAAAGGGATTTAAATTAGGTAAAATAATGCACAATAAACTTGCTGAAACAATTTAATATTAGTTATGTTCACTAGATTTATTATTGTATTATTAATATATATTGTATTATGATAATAATTACCGTTGTTAGCATCCTGTGTCCCACGACTTATTTACAACCTCAATAGAAGCGTTCTTGAACATAAAAATATGTCTGATTGCCACAAACATTATATCTGCAAGTAGTTTGTCCATTGAATCCAAGGATGTCATCCCAAAGCAAGTCTATATTATAGGAGAAAAAACAAATCGTTAAAACACAATCTACTGAATAACAAAGCAAATGTGAACATTTTTAAATAGAACTTTTTAAAGGCAGAATAACCGCTTTGAGAAATTCTTACACATTTTAGTTACAAAGCGTACAAAATTTTTGGGGCGTAGTCAGATCGGTATTAAATATCTGTAATCATCGCCTAAATATGTTCCCAAAATTCAAAAATTTTAATAGCACCTTAATTATTCGATCTCAAATAAACAAAGAATTTATTTTTTAAGTAGATGAGTGAACATCCAAAATGGACTCTCGTGTTGCAAGCACGAAACCAACACGCCACCGAAGCCATTCACGCCAACAAAAATCTAAGCAACGCTAACCGAAACCTATCAATCATTAAATAGAAACGTATTCTACACAATCAAATGAAATTAAATAAGGATTAGGGCGAAACACCTATAGGCGTTGATTCCGTTTACGAACAGCAAAAATGGTGACTTACTTCCTCATCGAAACCTGAAGACGAAATGACACAAGCCGGAAGCAGAAATGCATAGATGAAAATTCCTTCTGTACCTATGATCCATAGGTCATAGATTTTATAGGTGCGTTCAGTTGTACTAACTCAGTTTAATTAGTAAATAGAAACTGAACCACCTTAAAAGAAAATTACTCCAATAAAACTCATGGATTGTCGGAATACATATATTTCGTTAATATATGGCTATTTTGTGGATGTCGTATGATCCACTTTTTTTAGCTAGGACTCTTCTAACTAGTCTATGATTCTAAGACGGTTCTGACAGTTATGTCTTTAATCTATGGTTTAAACCAACCTAACCCATAATTCTGACATTAGTTTTACTATTTATATATTTTTGTATTAGTGTATTAGAAAATTATGAATAAAAATATAAGGTACATTTAACAATTTAAAGTTATTTGAACATGTCTGCAAAGTTAGAAATCGAATGGACTCAAATAGCAAATAAGTTTATAACTTGGGGTTCGGAAATATGCCTTTATGAAACAGAATTTTTGAAAGACAAAACGATACCTTGTAAGTAAATAAACAGTATCGTGTATAAGTTTGAATCAAGTGTTTTGTTGCAGGTATGAAAATATCAAACAACTTAGCTGCCTTTCTCCTCACCACTAATCCAAATTATCATTATATAAAGTGCTTGGACATTTATCCAAAATCTAACGATATTTTACTGGCAGTTGGTCAAGGAAATGGCAAAGTTTCTCTTGTCACATTTGGACCGTCACAATTTGATTCTCAGGGTTTGCCGGGAAAAGAATTCGGTTTGTTGTGTGGTACTCAATTTTTGAACAGTTTAATAAAAATTGCTGCTTTTAGTACCTCGACATCCTCGTCAGTGCAACACTGTCGCATGGAATCGTATTGATTCCAATTTAGTAGCAGTTGGCTTAGATAAATATCGATCAGACCATTCTGTTCTATTATGGGATATAGTAAAATGTCCATTTTCTCCGGACTCAAATGGAGCCCTGAAACCTTCAGTTAGCTCTATGACTACTAGTACAGAGGTTTCTAAACCAGTTGCTGAGTTTGGAATGTCTGACATGACCGCTAGTTTGGCATGGTTTAATACAAATAGTAAAACTTTAGCTGTTGGGATGAACTTGAAAAATATCAGAATTGTTGACTTTAGAGGTATGGAAATAAAACATAAAAGATATGATATTTATTAACTTAGTTTATAGACAGTGTTAAAGTTGTGACATCTACCCCTACAAAAGCAGTTTTTGGTTTGTGTATGGAGCCTAATTTAGACAGACATTTGGCATCATACTGTGACAATCAGGTATGCATCTGGGATGTTAGAAACTTTGAAAAGCCACTTGTTACTCTCACATATCCTAAGCCTACATTAAAAATTGGATGGTGCCCGACAAGGTATATACTTTGTGAAAGTGATATAATCTTTTAGTAATTAATACTATTTTAGGCACAATTTATTAGCTTCATTACAACGGGACAGTTCTCTCATTAATTTATATGACATTCAACAAACAATTGTAGGTAATGAAGAAGTAGAACCATCAATTTTAGAGAGAGTTGTGATACCAAATTATAGTCAAAACATCACATCGTTTTCTTGGCATCCTACTGAAGAAAATCGCCTTTTGTCTATTACTTTAACAGGTTATTGAACCTGATTTACATCATTGAATAAGTAACAACAAGCAATTTTACAGGAACAATATCAGATTACATTGTATATGATAGGATAACATTGAATTGGGCACCGAACTCTAATGTAGTATGGACTTTTGGTCGAAAAACTATGAAAATATTAAACGAAAATAGTAGTTTGTATGATCCGCTCAAAGATATTTCTCACAAAATTAAGCAGAGGGCTTTGGATGGTTACGGACTTAAAGTGAGTTTTAAATTAATATTATAGAGCAAAATATTTGAAAAAATTTTAAGGAGGAACTTTCTAAAAACGGAGACATGGTAGATGACGTTCTGATAAAAAACGCATGGAAATGGCTACAACTTAGCGGAAAATTATCTGATGAAGGTATCTTGAGGGGTTACAATTCAAGACATCCTGGTGTCAGAACAGTCTTGAAAATTGATGGTGTTAATGTTAAATCCGATACAATATCCATATCTTGGGCAGATTTAGGAAATAGTAGTTGTCACAGTTCCGCAAAAATATATAGGTAAAGTACGCACTATAAATGTAAAACATTTTTATATTTATTTTATCCTAGACATGAAGATCGAGATAAAGCATTATACTTGTGTGGATGGAAATTTGATAAAGATAACACACTTTCAAAATTATTGGATCGATTAGAAAAAGAACATGCGTTCTCTAGAGCTGCTGCAATTGCAGTTTTCAATCTTAAAATTAAACAGGCTTTAGAGATACTAAGTAGAGGGGCGGAAAGTAGTTTCGAACATTCAAATTTGAATATAGTGGCAATGGCTCTAGCAGGATTTTCAGATGATAAAAATAGTGTATGGAAGCAAATCAGTGCAGGGACGAGAGCACAAATAGGAGACCCATATTTAAGAGCCATGTTTGCTTTTCTAACTGCTGAAAACTATAATTATGATGCTGTTTTGGTAATAATTTTTTTAAATGGTAAATAACAAAGTTTCTTGGTGGTAATCTTTTTCTAGAATGAAGACGGTATGTTGGTAGAAGACAGGGTAGCTTTTGCGTGTACATTTTTGTCAGATGGAAAACTTTTGGACTATTTAAAGGCATTGGCTATGGAACTTACAGAAGAAGGTAATTTGGACGGTTTATTACTTACAGGTGAGTAAAAAGACGTTAATTTCAATATAGATGGAAATAACAATTTTGATCGTTAGGCAATAATAGTGATGGTATGCAATTACTTCAACAATATTTAGATGTAACAGGAGACATTCAAACTACTGCCTTGATAGTTGTGAAAGCCTTTCCTATTGAATCGTATACGGAAAAGTCAAAAGAATGGGTTACCAGGTACTTAAAATGTGCGAAATCAGTATCATTTTACAATAAAAGCTATTTTATTTTTAGTTATCGTAATCTCTTGGACGTTTGGCAATTATGGAATGAAAGGGCACATTTTGATATAATGTTAAACAGCTACAAACCTACTGAGAAACCGCCACAACAAGTGTATGTTTCGTGTAATTTTTGTGGAAAAAGCATATCGGCTTATATGCAAGGGTTGAACAGAGGACGTGGTCCCTTTTCTCGAATGGGTAGCACTGCAAATAAGCTAAAGGTAGTAGCAATATATGCAACATTTCTCCTTTTTTAATTATTAATTCAATTACTGGAATATTTATTTATTTATGGTAGATGTCTTCATGCCCTAACTGTCGCAAACCATTACCACGTTGTGCGATATGTTTAATGCATATGGGAACGACGATGGGGAAACATATAAATGGCGATGTTGATTCCAACAAATTAGTAGAATTTTCTCATTGGTTCACGTGGTGCCAGTCATGCAGACATGGAGGGCATGCCTCTCACATGATCCACTGGTTTAGGTAAAGTGTAAGAAAGAAAATTATTCACAACATCTTAAAAGTACAAATATGTTACAGGAATCATTCCGAATGTCCTGTAACCCCTTGTTCATGTAAATGCTTTGCTATAGATTCTTGGAGTAATGAAGATGTGTGATTAAATACAATTAAGAATCTAAAAAGTGTAAAATAAGAATCGTTATGTAAGAGCATTAAACAAGGTTCTAAATAATATTTAAAAAGACTGGAAGTGAATTTTTTGTTTCATGTTTTAGTTGAAATTTTTAATAAAGAATGATATACTTTAAATATGTTTCATTAGTTATTGCATTTTGTTAATACATATATAAATAAGAAATATTGGTTACTATAAAAATTGTGTAGTAAATTAAAAGACCGTGATAACAGTGATATCAACACTTTTATTGACATTTAAAAAGCATCACATATATAAAACATTAAATATATAAAATTAAAAATATCAAATATGCTCTTGTCAACGTATGTCGTGCAACTCATTGTTTATTGTCCAGCTCGTCAAGAAAAAAAATTAATTCAAAATGTAATGTAACATTAAGGCTATATAAGAATAAATACAAAAATCTACTTTACTTAAATTACTTTAATTCTTAATGAATGTCTTGAAACTGAAGGTATCACAAATATATATTTCAAAACTAATTGATTGATATAAGTGGGCAATTATTGAGCCGTTATCAAACGCATTTAAAGCTGCCGTATATTATTCTGCAAAATTGAAGTTACAAAAATCAAATTTCATTCATTCTGTTATATTTTAATTAAAAAAAATAGATAATGATTATATCAAACGTTATTCATTAGTTTAAGAAAGAAAGAGGGACTTTAATCACATTTAAGTGCTCCATTACAAATTAGTATTAATAATGTTAAAATTAATAATTTTGCCTTACTATTACGTTACTATCGTTTGTTTTATGGTGTGCTGTAAGAAAAACAACATCCATAGCCTTAAACAACAGAACTAGAAAAACTATATGAATAGTAACAGTTTTGTAAATGTTTTAAAGTTTGGTATAAAATTGATTTTCAAAACTAGATAAATATGCGCTTTGTAAAAAACTGCCAACTAAACCGATTTTCTTTGTGTTACATAACAGCCATATCTACAACTAATCACAAATAAAACATCACATACATGAACATTGTTAAATAAGAACACATTTGAATTTTTGTAGCTTCTTGCGCTTTTTCTTTTCATCAATTTGTGGTTGATTTCGTATTATTCTTACAACCTTAAAGAAAATAAGCAAGATATGTATTTTTGATACAATATGAAAGGCCGTTGCAAGTTGCAAGGTAAACAATAGGGGTTGTCCATTCAGAATTTCACCTTGTTGGATCCCTCTCTACCCCTTCGTCACACTTTCAGAAATTCCCCTAACAAATATTACGTCACAGAAGCTCACCCCCTCTATAAACGATCGAATTTTTCTCTTCGAGAGGTGCTTCTTAGAGAAGTTTTGAAGTTTAACAAAAAATAAAACATGCTTATTTACAGGCTTTTAAGTACTTAAGAATGACATTTTATCGTAATCAAAAATTTGAAGAACTTCTAAGTTAAGAAAAAAAAAATTAAATTGAACTGCGAACATCACATTCCCCGCTTGACATATCTCGTCACCCTAATTAAAATCCTTCCTCCTTCTTGTTTGCTAACGTAACTTATCAACTGCACCATAAGTGAATTACCCTTACAGATGCAGGTATAAGTAACAACTACAAGTGTTCAATTCCTTCAAATTCGAAATTTTGAGTTTTTTCAATACTGTGATGTCAAAGGAAAATGCTATAATATAATAATTTATTTCTTTGCATGCCTTATAGGTTTTTGGAAATTGCTTTTTTTCATTTAGTTTTTGAGATATATAATATCTTTCCTAATATCTCTATCAGCTCTTTTCGTCACTCAGAGAGAATGTGGTAAATAAATACATTCATTTGAATTTCAAAAACTGTTTATATTATTATAGGGGTAAAGTAGCAACAATGGGAAAAGGGCCCAAATCATCCACATAAGGGACAGGTAAATACTTGATAATGTTTGATTGCTTACCTCATGAAAGCAGGCATCAATATTTAGAGGGGGATCTTTAGCACTAGTTTCAATGTAAGGTATCCCCAGTTTGTTGGCGAGTTCACGACCTTGTTCTTCAGTAACTTTGCGTAAATGGACTAAATCTACTTTGTTGGCCACCAGAAGCATAGGGTAAGTGTCCCTACAAGTAAATAGTGTTTTAAAAAATAATAATGCAGACAATTAGAATAATGTGCATTAAACTTAGTATAAATACGATAATATTTAGAAAAAATTATAATCCTACCTGTCTTTTACCCTGAGAATTTGAGTATGAAAATGTACAATATTCTCATAACTGTTTTTATCGGTTACAGAATAAACCAAAAGAAATCCGTCTCCCTTTCTCATATATTGCTCTCTCATAGCACTGAATTCTTCCTGACCAGCAGTATCTAACACTAAAATTGCTATAGTAATTAGAAATTCTAAGCAATATAATTGAGGTTATGTGCAAATGATACTGTTTTTCATTTTTGTTAAATAACACTACATATTTCATTTAATTGTGTACTTACCATCTAAAATACACCACTGTCCATCTACTTCTACATGTTGTAAATAGCTGTCCTCAATAGTTGGGTCGTAGTCAGTTACAAACAATTTCTGAAAGAACTGTATTGTAATGGCACTTTTCCCAACACCTCCATCTCCAACTACAACGAGTTTAATTGTGGGAAGATTTTCATTCGGTGGCCTCGTCATTGCACCCCTCGTGCTGAACTTTCTACCTTTGCTACCTATTGTGCCTTATAGCCCTTACCAGTTTGTCTTAATATCTAAGTTGTCTATAAACACACGCGGATTATTTACTAAGTAGTTGTTCATTACTTCAAAAAATTGAAATAACGTTAACAAACAGAAAAAATAAAGATCAAAACAAATAATACGAGCAGTGATTACTACCATGAGTCTTGAAATGCTAGAGATGAGACGTAATAAACAAATTGATTGCACTTACCGCTGTAACATGGCTCGAAAAATTTTATTTACTTGTCTTATGACATTAGCTTATTTTTAGAATTCACATTCTTTCCTTGTAAAGACAACAAAAACAAACTGCTGCCCTTACCATTTTTGATTCACTCCGTTCACAATCCTCTTCAAAATTTAACTGACGTAAGAGAGGACGTCACTTAGCGCCCCATCTTTCGCTATGATCGACAATTACAATATCTATATACCGAGTGTTTCTTTCAGTTTAAACTTAATAAGGCATCAAAAGTAAAAATTGCTTAAATTTAAAATTGATGCCTTAAATACTCATTTGAAAGAAAACCAATAAACAAATTTTTACATTGTACCTAGTAATTTAATTCATAATAATATTTATAGAGTAACATAATTTAAAAATTAAATTGTTTTACACGTAATTATTTAATTTCACAATGGAATATAAGTAAAACCATACAATATAAATGGTGAAAATGTTTTCTCAAAAAAACAATGCAGTATACACATACTTTTATTTTTTTGGGAACTTCGATAAGCGTTAATAACTAACTTTTAGGTGGTGGTTCCAAAAGAAACAGTTACATTAGTTTTTTTTATTATTTAGTCAATTTCTTAATGATTAATGTTAAAATACACAAAAAACAAAACTAAACAAAAAAAAAATAAGAATTTTTGTTCTCTTATATGTGTTATAAGCCCCGTATTTGCTAGCGTCAGCGTTATATTAAAAACAATATAATTCATAGGGATCCATAGAAGTAGATAATTTTTTTATAACAAAAATCGTAAATACAGTTTATAATTTTGTAATAGACAAATACGACTATTTTTGTAATATTTGTTAAGAAAACTAATATTTTTATAAGTATCAATATCGCGTAGTGTGTTTACCGCAGAAATAATTTTTCTTTACTTACATGTAAGTAAATATACTGCTGTACAGTTTATACATATGTTAAACTGTTAACTAACTATCTGTGCTCATATTTATTTGATGTTATGTACATATATATGCAATCTACGTACTAGTAAGCAATGCGAAAATTAAACATACCGGGATTGTTCGAGATGAATAATTACAAAATAACAGCTTGCTTAACAAGCTCTTTTTATTAATAAATAAATTTGCATAGAGATCTAGGAAATAGAATCATTTGTTATAAATCTGGAAGTTAATCATGCAAGGTAAAGGATTTAGAAATTAGAAATTCCATTAGGAAATCAATGCTAATTAAATAAGGAAAAAAACTTAAACGATTTTGCCAATGTTTCAAAGTAAATTTTGTTCCGAATTCCGTAGAACATGGAAGATTGTATAGTCCAAAGCCTTTGTCGATGCCATTAAAATATCGGGTTTATAATGAAAAAGTATTTTTAAAAAATAAAGATTACCCGGGACAACAAAACGGACTTTACATCTCCTTAAAATATTATTGGAGTAAAAGTTAATTCATCTGTCCTTTGGGACCATTTTGATCGGAAGTTTATTAAATTTTCGACAACTACTTTAATAAGTAAATTATAAAACCCTGCAAACGTAACCCTGTGCTGTTGTATTAACCAAAGGAATTTAAAAATCATGAAAGTTAGCCTAGGGTATAAAATCACCTCGGCAGGTAATTCTATTTGGGAAAATACACAAGCATATATTTATATCATTTGTAACGGTAATTTGAATAAAACGTCAGCAGTAATTAATTAGTGACTTTAAAAAGTCGAGACTGGAACTGAAAAACCGACCAATAGCTAGTTAAGGGTTGTTGCTTTTATTTCACCCTAGTTTGTGAACAAATTGAAAGTGGCCGCACACACTAGCGCCCCTCTCGTTGCGGTCGGACCGTCGCCGGCACCGTTTCCCGTACCGTGCCGCTACCCTGTCCATTCCGGGGGTTTATTTTCGGTACAAGGGGTTGTAAATCGTGATCAATATGGGTACGAAGACCTCAATGTCGGTCGAGAGTGTGCGCAAAGGGCACCGCTAAAAGGCATGCGCTCAATTACAGCAAAACAATGCGATTTTTTTTCCGGACAATATTCGAATAACTAGAAAAGTGTGACGTAAATGCAAATGCATCCGTGGAGTTTTATGTGCGAGGGGGTGACAGGTGCAAGGATTGGCAGCGGAGGTACGTAATTGTTGAGTTTTTTGTGAGGCACGAGAAAGGGCGCGATTATTTAACAAAAAAAGTTCTTTGACGATTATGTAATTCAATTCCGTCAAAGGATAATAATTACCTAAATTAGCTTTTATTTAACTATACGGTTTTTAAAAAAATTACGGAAAAATCTTTTGAAAATGGTCCCCGAAAATAATGAAAAATTCTCGTTGTTTTCTTCATTATTTTAATCAAAAGGTACCATTTTGTTATCATTTATTTGTCAGCATAATTAGTACTTACGGTAGATGTATTATTGTGTTTAATTAATGGTCTATTAAGAAAGTAGGACAAATATTATTACAGGCTAGCAGCAATTAATAATTCTTCTTTATATGTGCAGTTTACTGTGTCTCATGTGTATAAAATCTATGTATGCGTATTTATGTGTTGATATTATTTGCATTTATGAGATATGCAAATTACTTTTATTTAACGTAAGTCAAATATTTAGTAATTATTACATATATGCACTAAAATATTTGGGGTAATTATTAGATAATAATGTTGTTATTAATATTATTTTTCACATTTTGAACTATTGTACTTACGAAATGGGTATATGTATAAAAACTAGTGGCAAATTTCAAATAAATTAGTACAGGTATAATAATAATTTATACTTTTTGTGTTGAATCAAAACGTACCGACTATATACCGAGTGTTTCTTTCAGTTTAAACTTAATAAGGCATCAAAAGTAAAAATTGCTTAAATTTAAAATTGATGCCTTAAATACTCATTTGAAAGAAAACCAATAAACAAATTTTTACATTGTACCTAGTAATTTAATTCATAATAATATTTATAGAGTAACATAATTTAAAAATTAAATTGTTTTACACGTAATTATTTAATTTCACAATGGAATATAAGTAAAACCATACAATATAAATGGTGAAAATGTTTTCTCAAAAAAACAATGCAGTATACACATACTTTTATTTTTTTGGGAACTTCGATAAGCGTTAATAACTAACTTTTAGGTGGTGGTTCCAAAAGAAACAGTTACATTAGTTTTTTTTATTATTTAGTCAATTTCTTAATGATTAATGTTAAAATACACAAAAAACAAAACTAAACAAAAAAAAAATAAGAATTTTTGTTCTCTTATATGTGTTATAAGCCCCGTATTTGCTAGCGTCAGCGTTATATTAAAAACAATATAATTCATAGGGATCCATAGAAGTAGATAATTTTTTTATAACAAAAATCGTAAATACAGTTTATAATTTTGTAATAGACAAATACGACTATTTTTGTAATATTTGTTAAGAAAACTAATATTTTTATAAGTATCAATATCGCGTAGTGTGTTTACCGCAGAAATAATTTTTCNCGACTAAAACTGATCAAAGTTATTAAGGCAGTCATAATTAGCTGAGTGAGTGGCACTTTTATGTGAGAAAGATATACCCACAAATTACTTATATACAGGATGTCCTATTAATGGACCTGTTAGACATCCTAGACAGTTTGCTTTTCAGTATTACTAACTGCATGTTTATTATATCCTTTAGGAATCAAAATGTTAATAAGTATTACCATCTAAATCGAATAAGTATACTTCTATTACATTCTTAGGTAATATTTCCTTAAAAATAAACCTTGTATTGCAAAAATCAAACAATATACAATTACTTCATTTAAAACCAGTAATACGCTAGTCAAATTTATAAAATATAATAAATATAAAACTGATAAAGCATCAAAATCAGGAGTTTATTTATTGGAATATGGGGACTGTAGTCAAGTCTATGTCGGACAAACTGGAAGATCCTTCAATCAAAGGATTATAGAACACAGGAGGTGCTATACAAATGGGAACGCTGATTCTACATATGCAGAAAGAACATTTATTAAAGGAGAAACCAATGTTTTGGTGAAACAGTTGTTGTGAACTACTAATATATATTTTTTTGAAACTTTACTTTCGTTTCCTTCAATTAAATTGAAAAGGATACATTTTGTTTTGTTTGAGAATCGTAATTTAAGAAAACTTTCCTTCTTTTTGGATGAAAAACTGTACTGTAGATAATAAAGAAACTTTCGTAAATAGGCCTGAACAATTTGACCTCTGCTGGTTTTACATGCCAACCATTGTATAGATACTGACAAACAAGAAGAAAGTCACGAAAGCTTTTGGATAGAAACCCCGGCATTCAACAAATTACGTTGACTTTCAAAAGAATGTGAAAGCGTTAGAATAGAATGATGAGGGTTGGTAGTAAGGTGTTATTTACTAGCCACAAAGGGTGGGAACCGTCGTTCTTAAAAGGGTGTATGCATTTTGAAACATTAAGGCGTAAATGCCCAACAAAAAATAAAGAATGTTTTGTGTTTTGTGCACCAAAGAGGTTATTATCCAATTCGCTTGTGACTTTTTTTGTAATTTCCTACTTTGTAGATTCAGATTTAATTCATTCTAGAAAATAATTTGCTAAATACCTAGAATAATTAATTTGCTAACCATTATCTTTTACATATGTCTAAAATATAATTGAAAATAGAAAGCGCGTATGTTGATTTGAAGACAAATTACAATTAAGTAAATAATAGATAATGTTTTGTCAGGATTTAAAAAAAAAATAAAACAACCAAATTAATATCCTTTTAGAAAAATAATGGATGTAAGAAAGGCAATCATAAACTAAATATATGTGAGACAAAGACATGACATGTTTTATCCCTAATAGAAATGATTAGTAGTTAACTTTTTATATCACAATTATTATAAATTTTTATAAAGTTATCACAAAATTTGGTGAATGCGCCGGGTAAAAATAATTATTCAGTTAGAGAAGTGTTGTAACAAGATTGTTTCAAGTAAATTGATAACTATTGCTAATATCCTTAGTAATGCAATTTTTCGTTTAAAGATTTTTGATGAGAAGCAGGAAAAGGTTTGACACTTCTGAGAATGTGGAGTTCAGTAATTCCTCAAGACGTAGAAAGTGCCTCTCCTTCGGCGAGGTCTAAACATAGCGCTACCTTGGTTGGAAATTATGTTTACGTATTGGGTGGAAGGAATGGCAATTTACCGATGAAAGACTTTTGGAGATATAATTTAGGTGAGCGAGCAAATTTAATAAACTTCGCTTTGCCTCAAGGAGACACAGGTAGGTACCTACTAATAAAATAAGCAGCGCTTCAATTTATACGAATCTTCTGATACATGATCGAAGAGAAACTTGAAGGGATTTAGACCCGACATCATGGGTTAGTTTAACTTTTTAAATACGAGAAAAAATTTAAATAAAAGAATACAATCTAATGTGGAACTAGGAAATGAACCTCTAAACTTCCAGATTAGTTTTTACTAAATGCCTTTGTTAAAACTAGAATCAACTAATGCTCAAAATTTAATATCAGTTAAAAATAGTTCTTACTAGACAAAATGCGTTTTTCCGAAGCAATTCAACTCCTTCCTATATCCTATCCTAATCATCTCTAACTATTCCCAAATAGTAAACTTTTTACTCCTGTTTCTGCTTTAAGTATGCTTCTTACTGGCCCTCTCATCATTATCATAAGGTCATCAGTCCTAAGACTGGTTGGACAGGTACCTCCACTCTTTCCTATCCTGAGCTAAACTTCGCATTTCCCTAAAACTAGAACAGCCCACATCCTTAACTATTTGCGAACAGTAATCTAATCTAGGTCTACCTCTACCCCTCCTAACTCCTGTTTCTGCCTCTAATATGTCTCTGACTAGACCTTCATGCCTGAGAAGGTGTCCTACCAACCTATCTCGCCTATTTTTTATTGACTTCCATAGAGTCCTCTGTTCTCCTATTCTTTCCAATACCTCTTCATTTCTAACCTTTTCTACCCACGATATCCTCATCATCCGCCTATAACACCACATTTCGAACGCTTCTAACCTTTTCTTTTCCGCCGCTCCCACTGTCCATGTTTCGCCCTCTATGCCTCAGAAAATGTCCTATCATCATCATGTCTTATCTTTAGCTTACTGACTTATATAATGCTCTCTGTTCTTCTATTACCATTTCTATTACTCCCTCATTTCTAATCTCCTATTCATGGTATTTTCGCATTAACACTTCAAACGTTCATCTTGTGCCTACATATATTTGTCACATATATTTTTGTTACGATATGATATCACTTTCGTATATAGCTTTGATATTTTTTCCCAATTCAACATTGTAATGTATAATTCAATTCTTTCTATTGTAAATATTTCCTATTGTTATTATGTAAATATCTTTTCAAATGTATCTCCTCAAAACCTTTTGTATCTGTACCTTTCTATTATTCTCTCTACAAATTACTTTATTACTTGTACTTTCCACTAATCCCTTAACATTTTAATTTCGTTTACTAACAGCATGAGGTGTATAATTCTTATTGCTTCTTAATTGCATTTTAATATTGGGTTTCTAGGTACATTGGGGCGAAATCTGTTTCTTAGTATTTCATCTAATCACTCTTTCCAAGTTTCATTCTCTTCTGATTCGATCCCTACTTTAGTTAAAATACTTCTAGCTCCACCCTTTTAATCTTCGTTAAAATTTATTTTCAAGACTACTAACACTTCCGATCTATTATTCAACTGTTCTACTTCATCCTTCAGCGATCGTTAATTAAATTTGTTAAGTTTTAATTGTGTTTTATTCAGTAATTTTACTTTTGCAAAGTGTGTTTAATTCCACCAAAAAACCTAAATTGGTGACCCCTACGAAGAACAAGTAGAGAATCTTCTGAGTGCCCGACGAAGAACAAGTAGAGAATCTTCTGAGTGCCCGACGAAGAACAAATAGTGCCCGACGGAAAAGCGAAAGTGCGATCCAGCGAAAAGCAAAGTATTATCCAACAAATAGTGACAAAACTGTGGTAGTACACGTCCAAAAAACTGTAAGTACATTTGCTGTGTATTATTTGTGTGTGCGCGAGTCGTGATTGTTTCTCGAAAATGGCTTTGCACAATTCTGTCGGGAATAGTAGCCAGACATCAACCGATTCAGAAATCGCATTGTCCGTCAACCGCGTCGCATTTCGTGTACCATCGTTCATCCCTGCAGATCCAGAGTTATGGTTTGCAATGGTGGAAAGTAGCTTTGCAAATGCGAAAGTGACTACCGACGCCACCAAGTTCAGTTGCGTCATAGAAGCCTTGGAGCCACGATACGCCTTAGAAGTTAGAGACATCATAGTCAACAAGCCTGAAAGGGACGCATACGAGATACTAAAAGCAGAGTTGGTCAAAAGGCTCAGCACGTCCAAGGAGCAGAAAACCAGACGCCTACTAGAGATGGAAGAGTTAGGGGACCGAAAGCCGTCGCAATTTCTCCGTCATCTAAAAGGACTTGCAGGCAGCACCGTTCCCGAGTCCATGCTGCGGACGCTGTGGTTCGCTCGCATACCAACAAGCATGCAAGCTATTTTAGCCGCACATCGCGACCTATCATTAGAAAAGTTGGCTGACATAGCTGACTCTATTATGGACCTAACGGACAATTGCCCACGAGTAGCAGAAACCATGTTGTCCCCTGGTGATCAATTAGCAGCACAACTACAGCAGCTAACTCTTACGCTACAGAGAGAGATCGCATCAATTAAACAAGAAGTGTCCGAATTGCGATACCAGCATAAACAAAGGTCAAGATCGCGTTCCAGTTCACGTCCTCGTTTCCGAAACCGCAGTGCATCCAGTGGTAGTTGTTGGTACCATAGGAAATTTGGGTCCAACGCCCGAAAATGCACCCAACCCTGTTCTTTCCAGACGACAGATTCGGGAAACGCTAC